AACTTCTCAACTTTTTATTGAACATTGATATCATTTTCGGAAATAACTAACCAGTAATCATTAACTTTTGTGATCATATCTTGAGTTATTTGTTTACTTTTTTTATGAGCTGTGTTTATTTGCATTATTTTTGATGATGATTGAGGGAGGGTGTTGAAATATACAATTAATATTAGTATTCAAACCATGTAAACACACGTGCGTGTACAATGTCGTTTTCTAATAGATACTTATGCAGTTACGATATAGCTGTGTAACACCTTTACTATCGCTTTCTATATTATATACGGATACGGGATGGCCTCGATTGTTCATATAAATAGGGCCTTTGATGTATGTAATATTCTCTTGCACAGACACTGTCATACCGAGTGTACGCGGTGTGTGTGTATAGTCACAGGTTAATTGTCCAGTTGTACGTTATTATATATTATACTTATACATAATCATATTGTCGTGTTATTACTTATTATATTAATGCTAACATCATTAGTCCGTCAAGCTTCACTTTCAACACTTTTATCACGAACAAGTGACATTAGAGCATTAATTGCCATATCCAAACGTTTACAGTTTTTCCTTTCAAGGTAGCAGTATTTAATGTTTTTATGCAATGATTCCAAGTACATATTGGTGTTAATCCCCACATGTTTTTTGTTAAACATTGCCCACTTTTCTACTCTTGTTGAATAACATTTTTCAAAATATTTTCCAATGTCAACTGTGTCTGAATCTTTTAAAAGATCATTTAGAACTTGATCAATTTCAACAAAAAACGAACTTTTATCTACCTCAAACATAAGTGATTTTAATGATTTAAAAATAATTTTTTTTTTTCATTTCCATTAATTCTGTTTAAATTTTTTGCCCAATTTCTTAGTACGTGCCATGAGCATAGAAGCTGTTTAACTGCACATCCCATTATAGAGCACCAGGCATTATAAAAGGCAGGTTCATCATCAGACATGAAAATGAAAGAATTAATGGTGCCAATAGTGTTCTTAATGCATTGAAAATAATGCTTGTAAGTATCAGTGTCAGATCTATTCGAAAAACAAAAAGCAACTGGGTACCCGTTTCCAAACTCATCGACTACAACAATTGTATACAGTTGAAAGCTGTATCCGTTCAACCCGTGTGTACCATCAACACACACCTTATCGTTGCCAAATTTTATGAACAGTTCTGATTGTAATGGATTTTGTAATGGATTTAATTTTAACTGTAAAATGAGGAACAGTACTATCTATACTCCCTTGATGTTTATAGTATAAAACAGGATTTAAATTGAATTTTTTCTTCATTTCTTCAACCCAAAGTCTGACACTAACCGCATCATTTTCATGCTTTTTTGTAGAATATGTGATGTTATAATCCCTCTTGTGTTATGCACATCTTTTTTTTCTAACAAATGAATTCGTTTTAAGTCTCCTTGAATTCTTGATGCTCTTATATCTTCTAATACTCTGTTGACAGGAACACCCATTGCCAATTTTCCTAAACATAAATCATTGCAATATTATACAGAGTGATTACAGAGTTACATAGTAGTTAATATTTTAAATCATAAATCACTATTATATAGTCTACTTTGTATATTCAATAGGTAGTAGTTTATTATAATGTATGTAAGTATATTAAAACCAAAATTAAATAATGGTAAGTACCTGCAATCATACTTCTGTCTTCTGTAAACAATCTTTGTTTACCTATTTCAATATCATGCCACATATGTGTACTACAATATTGTACATTCACTTTTGAACTATTTACATGTACTTTAATACTTGATGGACATACTGAACCAGTTTTAACAGATCCACTGCTTTTGGAATTTTTACACCCCTATATATACAATAGACATACATAAATCATAAAAAGTAAAAACCTTCATTAGGTCCTTCATTAGTTATTTTGCAAAATATTTATTACTTTATTTGAGGTTTTAGGAGCAAACGATCTGTGGCAGAAATACAGAAATAGTAAATATACTCTTTACTGTGAGTTTTTTTACAGCTGTATTTTTAACATATTGGCATTTTTCTTTTTCTTCTATAAATCTTTTCCATTTCTTAAAATCTAACAAACATTAAACCATATAACAGGCATAATATTAAATGATTATATTGATTCATACAAATAATATAATTAGGTAAACAAATTTGTCAGTAAGTTGTTAAATATGATTGATATAGGTACCTGGTACCTAAGCCTAGTTTAATGAAGTAAAAATAAAATTAAAAAAATAATAATCACTAAACATTTAATGTTCATGATTTGTTCATTATATTTTAGAGTTTGCCATGACAGTCAACCGACAAAAAAAAAAAAACACATCATATTATACATATTACATTCATCTAAAATATACATAACATCAAATGTAACCTATAGCTTTAGGTGACAGTTTATTTTATTTGTTTTATATAGGATAGCAGTGAAAATGTTATGTCTTTATAGTTTATATTATAATCAAGTTAATTAATTTAATAGTTAGGTATATAGGTAGAGGCATCAATACTATACATTCTATTTGTATACAAATATTGTTTAATATGGTACCTACCTTTATGTAAGGAAAAATAATGCATTTTTGAATAGTATTTATTGAATTATTTTATATTATATAGATATTAAAATATACAAAGTATTACAATATTACATTACCTTCCATTGTATCAAAATTTAACACATCAGATTCAATTTTTTTTTCATGACAAGATTTCAAAATGTAAAATATATCCATTCATAGAATAAAAGGTTTTTAGACAATTTTCAAATGAACATATTATGTTTAAACCACGAGATTTTTGTTTTACGTGGCATTTGACTTGCTGAATTTTTTTTTTTTTTTCACATTAAATGAAACATCACAACTATCACAAAAGTATGTTACACTTTTAGCTTTTTGTAGAGAAATTAATTCACTATGTTTAGTACGTCTGTGTTTATAAAACCCAGATTCTGACACATACGTCGATTCACAAAATTCACAACGAATCGTCAACGATACATAATATTAATAATTATTACTAGCTATTAGAAAAAAAATGCAACAACGAAGTGCAAACTGCAAACAAACTGTTTACAGTTTTACATTTTACATAATACATAAATGCTGTATTTTTGTTCTATATTAAGCAAAAACCACAAGACGCGGGGGACAGATGTCATGCTGGTTAGGTTTTATCTAAAGTACATTAGTTCCAATAATAATTATCAACAATGATAAACGGCATAATGACGTCATGGACAGTGAGACATTTTTCCTGCTATGATCCATTCGTATATTATCTTAGTTCATGCTTATTATTGATAATTATTGTAACTTAACCTCAAAATCTGACTGCACTAGTACACACTGGTGTACACTGTCTGGTGTACACTGGTCGATACCGTGAATTTCAACGGTGTGGTCAATTATGTGATTATGGAATCAGTGTTCACGTGTAGTGTGTACTAGTAGTCAGATGGAAAAACGCTATTACGGTTATCTATAGTTTATCAACGTTGAAATACTTTCGCTGATTATAAATATTTGGTATTGAAAATGTGATAGTTGAATTATACGTGTAATATTATTTTACGTAAAAATGTTTTAATTTAAAAAAAAAATATTCAATAATGTTTACTGTCTGTATAAAAAAAATATATAATATCCTAAAACGTATATAATATATAAATTTAAATTATTTTTGTTGCTTTTACATCTAGATTGATCGAAAGCCACGGATACACGGTGGTAGTAAACACGATAGTTGTTACTATCACACTATTACGATGAACTAGCATAGAAACTATCACGTATTTTCTATTATCGTGTGATCACGGTTTCATTAGTAATTAAAAGTATGTTTCTATGTTATAAATGCTATATTGCCTAGTTTATATTTTAACTGTGTTGTGAAAACTTGTCAGATAATCTAGAAATTCGTTCATTTATTCCGGTATACAAAAATAATTACACCGGTATATTTTAGTTTATACCGGTATATCAAGAAATTTTTAGGTAGGTACAAAATAATAAATACCAATAATATTCCCTCTATATTTAATTTTAGTTATCACTTGATTAGTTAAAACTAATAATAGATAACGGGTTTACGTGTTGTATACATTTTGAATTTTTATATGTATAAATAATAACTAAATTAAAAAAAGTTAAAATGAATAACTTGCAAATGCAAATATTTCAAGATTTTGTTCTAACAAAAAATCAAACCGGAAATAGAATTATACGTGCGTTTACTCATAAAAAAAAATACTACATGGTAAGCATACCTTTTTTAAAACAATAATATAATTCAATACTTTATCAATGCAACTTAGGTATTATAAATATGTTTTTATAAATATATTCATTGTATTAGATGTATTAGTATCTAATGTACTTGATGATGATGATGATGATGACGATATACTCCTTAATTATCGACAGACAAAGAGCAAAATTTTAAACTTTATAGAGACCACTGTAGTGTCATTTTCAGATTGTGAGTTCAAAACACATTTTCGGTTGAATAGAACCACAGAATAGAATAATCAGAATGGACACTGATAACAAATTATACAGTAAGATAGGGTCAAACAAAAAATCAGCCGCCATTTTAATTGAGGTAGTTCTTATCAATTTTAGCAAGTGATTAGAAAACCTTCCAAATATTACAAATTTCTCTCAGAATACAAAAACTGTCTAATAATTTTTATTTTTTTAGATTATTCTATTATGTGGTTTTTACTTTGCTATTTCGCATTTATTTTTATGTTCTGTGTTGTACAATAATTATTCTATAATATGTGAAGGTTAGGAATAGGATATGGAAAAGTATTTTAAAATCTGTGTCAACTTTTCAACGTTTATTTTGTTTTCAATACAAGCCACAAGGTATTTTTTTTTTTAATAGAAAAACAAATTAAAAAAATATAAAAAACATAGGTATAGACATAGGTGTATACATAATATTAAAAACTTAAAATATACAGTATATACAACATATTATTTAAAGGTGAGAGAGAATGTCTAATTTTCTATTCTTTCTTCCCATTGATAGTAAATTTTTATTTAAATATTTAACAGTATGAAAAATTCTTAATCGAATGTAAAGAGCCTTTAAGTATTCAATGTCAAATTTAGGGCATGGGTGATTAAAAGGAATATTGTCTATGAAATTTTTAAGTTTTCTTCCAACATCATTCTCTACTGCTAGTGTAGGAAAATTACTTACAAAAATGTCATCTAATTCATTAATATAATTAATAAACTGATCGGGAGGTACATTTAAATTTCCATAGGTTGAATTTTCTGTATTTTGGTAGGCCTTTAAGAATATAAATATAAATGATTGATCTAATTGATCTTGATGCTTAGCATACTTTAAACATAAATCACAGGAATGTTTTTCAAAGCATTTTTTTATTAAATATCCACACACATATGCAAGTACATTCATTGCAGGGAAACACAACTCTCTGTAATCTACAGTGCTTACTTTTAAAGCACACAATTTAAATGGAGATTTCTCTGGGAATAATACAGGTGCATTAGTCAATGGTGGAGCCAATTCTCCAATGTTGGTTAGGATTTCATTTAAGTCGTCTAAGCAGTTGGATCCATCGCTGTGTTTGAAGAAGTTTATGAAAAATATCTTTCTAAATGCCCAGAGAAATTGTATAGGTGTTGGGTTTACATTGTTTCCATTTTGATTCCGAAAGCTGCCAAAAAGGTTTTCCAAGCAGTCCTGGTTTAATTTATAGGTACATAAAACATAATTTGGTTTTTGAATGTCGTCCCACAACTGTAATAATGCATTAATGGTTATCTGCCAGCCGTTCAAAAACTTAACTCTATTTGTCACATCTATATTTATAACTTTGCCATTGAGTGTTTTCTTTTCAAAAATAGTCATATTTTCAAATACTTCATACATAAGTAATAAATGACCTCTCTGTTCAGCAGTGTTTTTGAATGGTCTATTTAAACTTTTACCTCCAATTTTTTTTTTTAATTTAATATATCAAATAACTTATCCATATGATCAATAAATATTGAAGTAGTTTCTGCAGTAGAAGGTAATGTACCACCATGGATACAAGTTTTCATTGCTGCTGCAACGGTTTCACTAAATACTTGACTAGCATATGAAACTTTCATTTTTTTGAAATGGTCCCGGGTAAATATGTGAGTCGGTTAGCTTAGGAGCAAGGCGATTCAGTCCTTGATCTAATTTATAAAACTGTTCAAGATATGTTTTATCTGTCAAGCCATTTAAAAATGATAATTGGTACTTAAAAAAATTGTTTCTTGTGGACTTAAGTAAATGTGGTGGATCAAAAATATAAAATATTTTTTGACCGTTAACATAAAAATAAGGACGTTCTTTTGATACATGCATTTTACTTGCAAAACTAACAAAATTAGATCCCTGATCAGTAGTTACAACTTTGATGATGAGTGATGTGCTTTGGATCCGAGAAATCACAGCAAAAATTTTATTTTGAAGAGTAATTCCAGAGCAACTGTTATTAATAAAAAAGTATGCCACTGGTTGTTTCCAATCATAATTTAAACTTCTTAACATGAAACACAATACATGTTTTGCTGGTTCGTAAGTTTTTTTATCATAAGAGTTGTTAAATCCAATAATACAATCTTGTGATAGATTATAATATAAATGTGTTTTTATAGACATTTCATCAATACATAGGATACATTCCTTGGCATCATTTTTTAAATTATTAATTTTAAAATCCATAGCTTCAAACAAAATATCATTTAAACCATTGATTATAGAATATACAGATAGCCCATACAATGTTAATATTTGGCGACCATACGTAGGATGCAGCCACTATGAAGCGCTAGTTTCGTCGGGATGCAAGGTGGTGGTACCCCCATCATAGATTTTTGGCATAGATGTTGGGGGGGAGGGAGGTAGCTTATCGCGCGGAGCCCATCTAAAAATAGAATAATAATAAGAGACTGAAATGCCAAACAAAATCATTGGAAATAATAATATTTATAATTATATTATCACTATACTATCTTGTTAATCGTTCGCTGTGCAGTAGCCCGCATCTCGCATTTTCTGGTTCTGACGTTCTGTAGTGTGTACTGTGTACTGTGTAGACTGTAGACCTGTATAAAACAGTTCTGAAACATGTCTGGAAATAAGTGCCAATATTTAAATTGTGGCAAATCGAAGAAAATGTTTCCGAATTTAAAAATGTATCGTTTTCCAAAAGACGAAAGAAAAGAATTATGGATAATAAATTCAGGTAAGGAAATAATTTTAAATTTTCATAAAGCATTTCAAATATTATTTTGTCACTTCCTAGATCCTAATTAATAATTATTAATTTGATTTATTTTTAAGAAAATATCTATTATACCTATGTTAAGTGATTTGTAAATTTTAAAATAAATCATTTACCTACCTACAAATATTAGGTAATTGTTATTTTATTAACTTATTTTTGTAAATTTTCACAGGAAACACAAATTTGTTTTCTATTGAACCAGATAAACTCCACAATAGGTACATTTGTCAAGAACATTTCCCACCTGAGAGCTTTATTCAAAATTTTACTCAAAATCGTTTAATAGACACTGCTATTCCCTATAATTATAAATCTGATGCACAGCCATCTACATCATCAGGCTTTGATAAAAATGACAAATCTGAACAGGAGTATAATATTCTAAAGTCAACACCAACTAAAACATATACACGCTCAAAATCAGATATCGTAGAGTTAGTTTTTCCGAGCCCCCCTTCAATGTTTTCTACTCCTCAAAAGATTAAAATAACAAATATAATAGACATGCCTAGCCCAAATTTAAAAAGGAAATCAAATTTGATTGAAATTGATACACCTAGAAAAATAAACCTAAAAAAAAAATTAAAACAAAAAAACAAATTAATTCATAACAAAATAACTCACATTTCAAAATTAAAAAAAAGAGTTCAAACTTTTAATACTCGTAATAATGTTAAGAACTCAATAAATATCCATAACTTTCCATCAATTAATTCCAAGGCAATCGTAACAATGCAATTAAAAGATAGGCGTCGTCCATGGACATTAAATGAAAAAAATTTAGCTTTAAATTTATATTATAAATCACCAACAGCATATAAATTTTTACGTACACAAAAAGTTAACTTACCCGGGCCATCGACTATTCGTCGTTGGATTGGTCAATCAAAATTCTTACCAGGTTTTAGTAAATTATTTTTCAGCCATATACAAAAAAAATTTGAGTCTTCTGACTATAAAGAAAAAGCATGCACTGTTTGTTTTGATGAGATGTATATAAAAGAATTTATAGAATATTCTAAGGAATTTGATTTTATTGAAGGTTTTGAAGACTTAGGTCATTATGGGAGGACCAATAAAAGTGCCAACTGTGTTTTAGTATTTATGGCTCAAGGTATTTATTCACCATGGAAATTTCCGATAGCATATTTTCTTGCTCATTCTGGAGTTAACAAAACAATTTTAAAAAATTTAATAATTGATGTTTTACAAAAGTTATTTGAGGTTGGATTGTGTCCAAAAATTATAGTTTGCGATCAAGGCACAAACAACCAAAGCGCTTTAAAATCATTAGATGTTTCAGAGGATAATCCATTTTTTTTTATCAATGACAATAAAATATTTTCTTTGTTTGATGTTCCACATTTACTCAAAAGTATTAGAAATAATTTAATTAATGCTTGTTTTATAAAAGATAATAAAATAATCTCATTTGATGATATAAAAAAAACATACGAGTTGGACAAACAAAATCATAAAAGTAGGTCTCTTGTCAAAATAACAGATGCACATATTTACCCAAGTTCTTTTCAAAAAATGCGTGTTAAATTAGCAGCACAATTGTTAAGCAATTCCATGTCAGCAGCAATTCGAACTTGCATACAAACAGGACAACTTCAAAGTAACACTTCATCAAATACTGCAGATTTTATTGAGTTTATTAATAATTTATTCGATTGTCTTAATAGCAGGTCTTTATATAGCAATAATCCATATCTATGTGCTTTAACTGATGTAGGTACTGTAAAAAATTTTTTAATAGGAGCTTCAGAATACTTCATAAATTTGCAAAAATTAAAAAAAGGAAAGTTAACACAACCGCCCTGTTTTAAAGGTTTTACGCAGACCATTAATGGTGTTTTGCAATTTTTCGAAGCAGAGAAATCTAATGATATTGTATTTTTAATGACTAATCGTTTAAATCAGGATAGGTTAGAAAATCTTTTTAGTATTTTTCGACAAAATGGTGGTTATAACAAAAACCCAACAGCCAGAACGATCAGAACTTCGATAAGAAGTAATTGTATTTTTTCTTTATGTACATCTAAAGGGACAAATTGTGAGGCAGCACAAGAAGATGCTAATCCAGTTATAATTGATCCAGTTAGACCACTAAATAAAATAGATTTTAACAGTTCAACATTATCTTCAGATTCAGATACAGAATGTAATTCTAATTTATCTCTCTGTATTTTATCATCTGATGAGGACTCAGTCAATATTGATAATAATACTGATGTTTCTTTAGAAGACTGCTCTGTTACATATTTTGCAGGATATCTGGGCTATAAATGTATGAACAAATTTAATTGTAACCAATGTCAACTTGAATTATTCATGGATAAAAACTTAAACGATAAAAAACAATTACTTTTAATTAATAAAAATTATATTTCTATTAATAATGAAAGTGGACTTAAAGCACCATCAAATAATTTCAATAATGTTGTAAATAAAATGTTGAATATTTTTGAAAACAACTATGAAAAATATTTAAATAAAAAGAAAATTAGATTTCAATTAACTGAGCTTGTAAAAAATAATAAAACAGTTATAAAATGGTTAGATGAATCAATGAAAAACTGTTTAGAGCATAAAATGTATATAATTGATCAACTTTTAATTTGTAAAATATTTAATAAAACAAAAATGTTTTCAACCACATCAAAATTAGCTAAACTTTCAAAATTAAAAATATTAAACCACATTTAAATAATAATAATATATGATATAATATATCTAATAAACTAGACATACGTGAAAAGTCCTTTTCAGGACTAGGCATACCTACTCAAAAGGTCCTTTTCAGGACTAGGCATACCTACTTAAAAAGTCCTTTTTAGGACTAGGCATAACAACTTAAAAAGTTCTTTTCAGGACTAGGCATACTTACTCAAAAGGTCCTTTTCAGGACTAGGCATACCTACTTAAAAAGTCCTATTCAGGACTAGGCATAACAACTTAAAAAGTTCTTTTCAGGACTAGGCATACCTACTCAAAAGGTCCTTTTCAGGACTACCAAATTTTAAAATGCTCTGTTTATTACCTATCTATCACTTACTATATTATTTACTATACGAAACAAGTATATTAATATTATTAGCATTCATACAATTATAATTATTTTTATGTTTTTAAATTACATTTATTGTGAATTCTAATTTTGTATGGTGGGGTGGGGGGGGGGGGTGATACATAGATTGCCTCACCGAAAAAATACTACCAGAACCGCCACTGCCTTATTGTAACTGTTGAGCATTGTAATTTATAATATAATATTATTAAATAAATAACTGATATTTTTCTTTTTTTCCAACACCATGCCTTGTCAAAAACAACAGAATTATTTAGCAGGTTGTAGGTGTAAGTGAACCTAGCATCATATCAATCTTAGTATTTTAATTAAAAAGTGTGTATCTTGAAATATTATGATGTATTTTAATTTTTAGGTCCAGTAGTAAAGATTAACTCAGTACTTTTAAAATTGAATACTGATTAAGCTGAATATGAGTGTCTAGTTATCAATCATCTGTACCTACCTACCTATACTACCACTTATAACAAATTATTTTTTAAAAAGATCATAATATTTTGAGTAGGTACCTACTTCACAGGTGCTATATTATCAAGTAGGTATCAACTTAAAGTAGTTGTTTTATAGGTTTATCTATACTATGTTGTTTATGTGGCGGAACATTACTATTTACTAAAAACACTCATTTGAAAAAAAAAATGTCAAAATCTTGAATTATATTAGTAGAATAATGATAATTGCCGTTTGTTGTTATTTGTAGTGGCCTATAATCCAGTTAAAATGTTATAGATGTGTGGTAAGTGGCATTACATTTATACTTTGAAATGTATATAACATTATTAAGATTCTATACTTCAAACAATACAAATTTCTACGTGATATACAGATGTCTGATATGTAGGTATTTATTGCTTTTTTATAATATTATGTTCAGATTAAATATCAATGGATAATAATGGGCCCCACAGATTAAATTTGCACTTCTAATTCTAGCTACGGCACTGAGTTGTATCGCTGGATTTATATGAGGCACGTTCAAGGGTATATTTGTTAGTAAACTGAAAAAAGCGAAAACCGAAATATAGACTCAATTACTGAACAGTCTGTAGAAACATTACTATGAGAAACAAGAAAGTAGAAACAAGTTAGATTAGTTAGAACTGTTAGAAGAAAAGTTGAAAATCGAAAATAAATAATAATACAACCATGCTTACTGCTTAGTTGATAATATTTTGGTAAAAATAATTGATAACAAACACGATAAACGATTGTGGTTGTTGTAATTAATAATTGCTAATTGATACAACGCCATCTGTAGGTAACACGTTAAAATATAATTTTAGTCGCTGAATACTCCTATGCCATGGGCTATCTGTCTATTCTATAATCAATGTTTAAACC